TTTGAGACAAGAGGGAAGTGATGGTTGCACAACATGTGAATGTACTCGGTGCCATGAAGCTGTTCGCTTTAAAGTGATTAATGTTATACATGGACGGAACAAAAAGAGAAAAGGGGAATTGAAAAAGGGAAAGAAAGAGGAAAGTGGGAGTGAGATTCCATGAGGAGCACAGGGGCTCCAGGGAGGAAGGAAGGGAGGAAAGTGGCTTGGTCCAAACCAAGGGGTTAGGGATGGAGAGTAAAGACCCGACTGAAAGTTGTAAGGGTTGGGATAGTTCATGTAAATGAGGCATCAGGACAGAGGGGGAGGTTTCTAGATTGCCACACTGGAATAGTCCCGCTGTGCTCAGCAGGGCGAGTGCCTTTTCTAAGCACAGGTTCTGACTCCAGGGCTGGTGTCTTTCTCTAACATGGATGTCTGCTGCCAGTGCTTCCCACCTGACCAGGGAGCCCTAATTCCTGCCCCATCCCGAAAGCACCATGGCCCACTGAGTGCTGGGGTAGAGTGGCCCCTTCCAGCATCTGTGTCGCCATATTTCATTGCTCTGGCCTGAATTGGCTCTGCTTCCAGACAAGACATCTATGTGATAGATATCTTCTACTCTGCAAAGATCATAGGAGAAGATGTGTTTTTAATTGCATCTACAGAATATATGTGAAATATCTACTAAATCTTAGTGTACAAAGTCAGTGGACACAGTCACTTAGGTCTGTTTTTCCCCCTTTGAGTGTTATGAGTAACGAGGGTCGATGGTAAAGGTGAATTCCACATCATGTCCTGAAGTACTTCCTTGGTCAGGAGGACGTGATACAGGATTTCGTTACACTCTGCTCTGGTCAAGTCATTATTTATCCACCCTCTTCCTTTCCCTCCCACATTCTCTTTTTTATCTATCTTTTGTTCCTACAATTCTCTCCTCTTTCATTCCATCCATCCATCTTTCTATCCATCCATCCTTCCACCCATCCATCCATCCACACATACATTCATGCATCCATCCATCCATCCATCTACCCATCCATGCATCCATCCATCCATCCTTCCACCCACCCATCCATCCATCCACCCCTCCATCCATCCACCCATCCATGCATCCATCCATCCATCCACCCACCCACCCATCCATCCACCCATCCATGCATCCATCCATCCATCCTTCCACCCATCTATCCATCCACACATCCATGCATCCATCCACCCATCAATGCATCTATCCATCCATCCTTCCACCCATCCATCCATTCATCCACCCATCCATCCAACCATCCACCCACCCATCCATCCATCCACCCACCCACCCATCCATCCACCCATCCATGCATCCATCCATCCTTCCACCCATTCATCCATCCATCCATCCAACCATCCATCCATCCATCCACCCATCCATGCATCCATCCATCTATCCTTCCATCCATCTATCCATCCATCCATCCATCCATCCATCCATCCATCCATCTTTTCTCTATTCCTTTCTTTGCTCCCTTCTCTTCTTTCTTTCCCCTCCCCTCTCCTCCTCTCCTCTCTCCCATCTAACATTTCTTTACAGATCCCCCTTCTCTTTTCCATCTGTGGCCATAACCTGGTAAACACATCACCTCTCTGAAGCCACTGGGCTTGTGCTAAACTTGCACTGGGCAGACTTGGCTCTAGCTGTGGGTCTCCCCGAACTCAACCCTGGGTTGCTCGGTGCCTCACGGCTCTCACCAGTGTTTGGGAGGTGCTAACAGCCTCATGAACAGAGAGTCTGGCTGTGTCCTCTTCCCTGGCCATGAGAATGGTGCGTTGAGGGAGTCGCCAGGCGTTTCAGGTGAAGAACAACTTCGTGTCAGTGTTCAGCTTCTTCAAGGCCATTTCCATAGCTACAAGGACACTGATTGAACCTGGTCATAGTGACACTAATAATGGGCAACAGCATGCTGAGCTTGCTCCGGGCCAAGAGTGTTATCTCCTGGATTCTCAGGAGCAGTGTCAGTGTTCTCCCCAGTGTCCAGGTAAGGAAACAGGCTCAGGGGAGGTGATCACTTTCCTAAGGTCCCAGTTAGGCCTGGAACCCTTCTCTCCCTGGCCCCCAAGCCTATTGGACACTTGTGTGCAATGAGAAGCCCCCTCCTGCTTCCCTTTCCTCTCCAACTCTGGGCAGAGAAGAGGCAGCCACCACTCTGAGCTGCTGTAACAGGAGCATCTGTCTGGTCCCTGCTGTGCACCCCCCAGGGAGATGATAAGCAGGGCTAGCAGCCCGGCGCTGCGAGGGGTCGACTCAGCAGGCTCACGGGGCTCCTGCAAGCAGAGGAGCTGCAGCCTCCTGGGGAGCTTGACTTTTAGGCTGCCTGTGTGGGAGGCCTGTGGGTCTTAATTGAACAGTTTCCCTGGGCTCTCCATCCAGGACTGACAGTTTGCAAAAGGGCTGTGCTGTGACCACCAGAGGGCGCAGCTCCTGATTCGCCAGGATGGGTGTTAGTAGAGAGGAGCTGGGTCGGGAGGGAGCCGTGCAGGCGGGAGAGGAGAGGGCGGAAGTGGGAGCGGGAAGCGGAAGGAACCGAGATTAGTTTGGGACATGGTTTTGTTTCCTCCTGTTTGTTTTAATTTTAGTGTTTGTTTTTGGTATTGGTATTGGGGATTGAGCCTAGGACCTTCACACTGAGCAACATTTCCAGCCCAGTTTGTTTATTTAAAAACAAACAGAAAATTTTTTTTAATATTAAAGTAGAGTCTTGCTAAATTACTAAATTGCCCAGGCTTGGCTCAGACTTGTGATCTTCCTGCCTCAGACTCACAAAGTACTGGAATTACAGCCATGCACCACCACGCTGGGCTATGAAGTAATGTACTTCCTAAACTGGCTGCTTGGAAGGGGAAATGTATTTCCGCACCGGTTTAAGAAGTACATTTCATTCAAGTCACGCCAAGCCAGGGACTGAGGGATCCAACTGTGGAAGCCACAGGCTTCCAGCTCTCAAGGTGCCTACAGTGGAGAAGGGAAGATAGACAGTTAGAAAACAGTGTGATTCGTGCTGGTGTCTTACCCCATAGTGACCATTTAATAAGCGTTTAGTGGGCACCTACTACAGGTCCACCTCTGTGCTAGTTGCCAGGATAGAAAAATGAACAATAGAGAGACATTGTCCTCAGAGAGCTACAGTCCACTTTGCAAAGGACACCACAGCTGAGTGGTCAGAGACAAGTAGGGATTCACCAGGCAAAGAAGGGGAGGAGTTCTCAGGGGTGGAAGATCAGGGTGTTAGTGGGGTGGTGTAATGGACATTGGGTACCATATTAGGAAGCTTGGTTCTTACCCAGAATGGGGTGGAGGAGCAGGTACTAAGAAAGAGAGGGAGGTGAGGGAAGCGATAAGGTGACTTGGTGGAGTGTGTGTAGCAGTTCTGCAGGCCAAGAAGGGAGGCAGTAGAAGCGTTCCACAAGAGGCAGCTTTGCTACCTGCTTTGCTTCCTGTCTCTGACATTTTCCTTTAGTCACTCAAAGCTGAGAAGGCTGAGAGATAGCAAGAGAAGGTCAAATGGAAATATCTTTGTGGGCTTTGGGAGTGGTTTTAGTGAAAGGCCCTAACAAAAGGTACATCGAGCTAAAGTGAAAATTCCAGGGTTACTTATTGGCCAGGCTCGAGTGTATCTAAAACCAGGCTCCCTGGAACAGCTGGCCTCAGGCTGGACATCAGCTTGGGTTAGAATTGATATGGAGGGTCTGCTGCAGATACAGTCAAGAGGTAGACTGCAGTGCCACTTTTACCATGTTCCTCCCTTCTCGTGGCTTCAGGGTCCTCATCAGTGGAGAAGGGAAAGATAATAGCCTCTTCCTCCTGTGTTGGTCAGCTTTTTGTTGCTGTGACTAAACACCTTAAAGAAAAAACTTAAAGGAGGAAAGGTTGATTTTGGCTCTTAGCTTGAGAAGCATCAGTCCATAGTCAACTGGCTCTACTGCTTTAGGCCTGAGATGAGGCAGGACATCATGGCAGAAGGGTGTAGGGGGACAGGGATGAGGGTGGGGAGACACTGCTCCCATCATGGCTGCTGGAAAGCAGAGAAAGAGCTGAGGAAGCCAGAGGGGAAAGGGCGAAGTCGTGTCCCCGTGACCCACTCCCTTCAGCTAGAGCTCACCTCCTCGGTTGCCATCATCTTCCAGTAATGCCACCAAATTATGACTGTACTCACTAATAGATTTATCCACTGATGAAATGAGTGCCCTGGTGATCCCCTCATTTCCCAGATTCCCCACCCCTGCAGACTGCTGTATTGGGGATGGAGCCCCAACAGGTGACAGGCATTGGGGGACGTCGCATAAGCAAACCATAGCATTTACTGTGATGTTTGAGTGAGAACACACACGAAAAACCCTTAATTCCGTCCCTGGGACTTGGTCTGTGCTGAAATCAAAGTAGCAGTGATCGTAGCTGTTGTTGGAATTGTTACTACCATCAAGATTAAGCTTCATGTTTGTTAAAGTGAGACGGCTTTAAAACGCCCATGTTTCCTGCTTAGGATTCTAGAGCTGCCCTCTCAGTTTCAGATCAAAGTTAATCAGCACCTGGCTGGAATCCGTCTTTAATGTTTCCTCCTCATCTGCTTCTCAGTGTGAGAATCCTTTCGGAAATCGAAGAACTGCATCTTCTAATTATCTGTTTGCGAGGAAGAAGGTCAGGAAAAAAAATAAATTCCAACGGAATCCTAAAAACTTCGATATTTTTATTTCACTGGCTGAATTATTTCAGTAGCTGCGCTTGACCCTGCTTTTCTAGAGCTTCTCCGGGGAGCTGGGTGGAACAGAAAGTCTTCTGTTTTTGCGTTTGCTCCATGATAGGATGGGCTTTGGGGTTGAGGGGCAAGCAGCAAAGCTCCTCCAGTTCCCTTCTCTCTGTGCCTAAAAGCTATGGCTCTCCTTCCTCCCTGTGGGGCTTAGATTCTGCAATGGGAGACCAATGCTGGGTCCCCTTCTGGGCTCATCTGGATATATTTCCTTTTGTCCTATTTCTGTCTTCCTTTCAGAGCCAAAAAGAAGAGCAAACCCTTGAACCTCAAGATCCACAGCAGCGTGGGCAGCTGCGAGAACATCCCTTCTCAGCAGCGCTCGCCACTCCTGTCTGAGCGCTCCCTGCGGTCCTTCTTCGTGGGACACGCGCCTTTTCTGCCCTCCACCCCGCCCGTCCACACCCACACCGAGGCCAACTTCTCCGCAAGTAAGTCTCTGCCTTTGGGCTGCACTGGTTGGGGGCAGTGGCTCCCACATCAACTCCCCAGCACTGCCGCCGCCGGTGCCAGGCGCAAACTCTTCTCCTTATCTTACTGCCCCAGAAATGCTCACTGAGGGGTGAAGTTGGCACTCGGGAGGTTGACAGCTGTTGTCATTGGGCATTGGCCCCCAGACCCTGCTCTTTGGCCCACAGGCGCAAGGGGATGACAGAAGTAAGCAAGCTTGCAGGGCACTGGAGGAAACATCAGTCTTTCCTCGCCCTCCCTCCCCACCACGTTTCAGCTGCTCAGTTATAGGATTTTTTTTTTTTTCCAGGCCACTGCAGATGAAGTGTCTGTGCTGAAATTTTTGTATTTTCTCTTCACTTGGGTCAACACGTCTAACCTTTACATCTCAAAGACGTATTCGGGTTCAAACTGGGCTGAGCGTGGCCTGGGGTGGTTTATATTCTGCTCTCACGAATTTCTGCCGGAGACAGAGTAGTTATTACAGAGCGGAAATGGAAGTTTGTGGTGATCCAGGGCCGATGTTTCATTTCAAGGCTTTTAATCTTCTCCGCCCAGAGGCCCGTTTTGCTGAACGGGCACAGATGTGGTCAGAGGGGAGACCCCTGCATAAGTCCGTTGCTCCTCCAGCCAAGACAGCGATTTTATTGACTGGCTACTCAGGAGACGGGGGGGAGGCTGCTGTACTGTAGAGGAGGCAACCCCTGCCCCTCAGTACAGCCACAGGCTTCTGCTGTGTTGCTGCTCAGATAAATCAGAAGAAATGCTTGCGGAGCATGAGTACCTGCTCATCGCTCCCCTGCACAACCGCACTTAACTCTCGCAACTCTCCACGGTACAGATGAACTAGTCCCGTCATGCAGACGGAGAGTGAGGCTTAGGGACAGCAGAGAACTTGCCCAAAGTCACATGGCTGTCAAGTAGTTGAGCCAAGATTTGAGTCTGGTTCTTTCCAACGGAGAGTTGACAAGCTTAGCCTTCAGGCCTGACTTGATAGCCAAAATTCCTCCAACATCCAGCAGGAATGCTTTTCTTGAAATGTGGAATTTTATGGGTTATTTTAACTAAGTCTTTGTAAACATTTTTCCAGGAGGCCACCGACCATTTGAGAATGTGACAAAACCTGTGACCTCCCTCCCTAGGAAAAGGCACATGTAACATCCAGCATCCAGCTAGGTGGTGAGGCTGGGCCTGAATGGTGACCTGGTTCAATTGATGTGAACCTGGCCGAGTTCATAGACGTGTACACGGGGTGTGCTGCAGAGATCAGCTGAGGGTCGGGACTAGAAGGACCCAGTAGACGTCAATGAGAAGATCCAGAGTTTGCTCTATCCCCGTGCCCGGGGTAACAGGCTCTGACTCAAGCAAACTAAAATAGCACTTATGACCCACATGTCAACATCAGAAGGCCAGTTTATTAATGTGTCAGGGGAAATCACTGTCAGGACAGCAGAGATGTGCCATGAGGTGGGCCTGTGTAGGATCTGAGCGTGGCTGGGTGATCAGGACACAGTGTGATGATGATGGGTCAGATGTGCCGTGGCAACCGGGCAGGATCGGTGCTGAGGGCAGGAGCATGGGCCCTGAAGGAGACGCCTGGGTTCAAAGCCCACTCGGCTACTTTTCTCAGCCATATGTCTTTGACCTCACATGAGTCTAAAACCTCTGTGAGCCCCGATTTCCTCATCTATAAAATGGGGATAATTATAGAGTCCTTATTATATCAATTAGCTTTTTCATCATTTTGACCAAATACCTGACATAAACAACTTAAAGGAGGAGAGGTTTATTTTGGCTCAGTTTCAGAAGTTCTTGTCCTTGCTCAGCTGACTCCAAGGCAGAAGCGTAATGGCAGAATCTGGGCTTGGCAGAGGACAGCTGCTCAATTCATGGCATCCAGGAAGCAGAGAGCAGAGGAGGAAGCCAGGGAGGAAGGTCATGCCCCAGAACCCACCCAGACACATCCAGAACTGTGCTTTGCTCATCGTTTCCTAGGTGTCTCTCAAGCCGGTCAAGTCGAAGGTCCAGATTAACCATCACAACAGCATACATAGTTGTGAGGATCAGTTAAACTATGCATGTCAGGTCCAGAACAGCCTGACACAAGACACAAGACACATTTATTAAGACACAAGTGCTTAACACATGGTAGCTGGATTACATTATTTATTAGCTCACATTTCCTACTAGTTTTTATAGGTGCCGGTGCCACGATTCATTCTGGGCTGCTGTGACTCAGTGCCTTGCAGTTCAGCCCCAACCCCTGCCACTTCCTATGGTCTAACCGTGCTTGGAATTTACCTTGGCATGCTGCTGGGCGGCTGCCTCCAGCGGCCATCTGTCCTTGGGCACCACCATCCTAGGAGTGAGTGTCAGCCTGCTCTCCTTGGGGGGTTGACCCCTGCTCTGCACTTTAGTTTTGGCCAAAGACACCTCCTGTCTTCTTTAAACAAACATCGGACTGGTACATTCTGGTCCCCTTCCCTGTCAGTTTTCTATGAAGGGGCAGAGGTTGCCTCCTCCACAGTACAACTTTTCTGCCCCACCCTATCTCCAGCTGAGAGGAACGGCTTGTCTGGTGTTTTAGCCAGGGTTTTCAAGGGAATAGATTTCATAGAGGACACATAACTTATAGGATTATTTTAATATACTCACCCAAAGAGTCAAATGCAGAAGAGCACAAAAGATCTGTCCATATATTAGAGACCCAAAGAATCCAGCTGAGGTGCTGATCCCAAGGCAATGTCCTGCACAAATCCAGCTGGAGACCTAGAGCCCATGACAATGTCTCATGCAAATCTGCATAGAGGGTCTGCACTGGGAAGGCTTCAGTGGTGGAAGCTAGAAAGTCTGCACCAGGGGGGTGAAGGATCTGTCCTAGCAGGCTGAGGGACCTTCACTGGAGCCAGGTAGCGACACTCAAGGTAAGGACCAGTCCTCCCCTGAAGAGAACCGCAACCATCCTCAGTGAGGACCCAAGCTCTTCTGATAATGACAGCAGCTGAGTTTATATCAGGAAAAGCAGCATGACAAGCTTCTCCAGAAGAATCAACAGCACACCATCTTCCCGCAAGTTCTCTTTTTATGCTGTTGGCAACAATCCTCAGGTGGGCCTTCCACACCCAGGACCACTCTGACTCAGTTCAGCTGGGTGTTACAGGTTGACCATTAGTCCACTATATCTGGCTGCTTGGGGCAGGAGCAAAGACCTTCATTAAAAGCCAGCTTCTAGCCAGGAGAAGCCCCACGAGCACAGTTGTCTCTTGTGTGCAAAGAGGTGTCTTCTGACCTCCTGGAAAGGAGCAAGATAGACTGGGGGCTCCGCGGGAAAATGATGTGTAGCCCAAGAATTAGCTGGTACCCATGGGCCAGTCCCATGGAATAGCAGAAAGAGAGGCAGCTTACACTCGCCTACCTTAAGCATGCTTGGAAAATTTGCATTAGCCTGTAGATGGGCACCATCGTTGAGTAAAAAAGCTTATTTTATAATATTGTTGAATCTGTCATGTCATCTGTTGAATACTATTGTAAGAATGAAAAGCAGAGTGGTTGTAATAGCACACCATTGTAAAGTCAAGAGAAGTATTTAAGTCAAATCATGAATCAGCAGAAATCAGGGACTACAGAATTGACTCTGTGTTGCTTTGGGCCACACTGCGCTGTTTAGCTAGGGTCTGGTTGGATGCCCTCTGCCCATGCACCGCTTGCTCCAACAAGATGTGAACCTGTGGCTCTTTTAAGGGTATCTCTGGTTCCAGCTGACAAAAGTAAAGCTCCTTTTGAGAACCCTAAAAAAAGCTGCTTCCAGATGACAAACTGTCACATAGATGGAATGATCATTTATAACTGGCTGGCGGAAGTGATTCTGGGTCTATAGCAACTAAATGGATGCAGATACAGTGATAAGTGCCGCACTGGGCATATCATTTAACCCCCCGAGTCTGTTTTCCACCCCACAAGGATGTAGCTAGGATAAAATGAGGGAAGCATATAAATTTCCAGCACAGAGGCTGGAGTTTAGAGCAGTGAGTCTCCATAAAGGGTGGTTTGGGGGCTATTATTGTATGTGATGTGATGGAGTGGCTTGTGACAATGCTGAAAATGATGGCAATAATAGCCATTGGTGTTTATTGTGTGTTGACAATGTTTCAGGCATCGTACAAAGCAATTTCCTTTTATGATTTCATTTACGCTTCACAATCCTCTGTAATGTCGGTACTATTATTATCCCCATTTTACAGATGAGGAAATTGGGGCTGGGAGAGTTGAAGTAAGTGGCCCAAGGTCCCAAGGGCAGGAAAGAGGTGAAGTCTGAACTCATTCTGAATTCATTGTTGAATAATGCTGCACTGTGAAATAGCAACACTCTCACTGTTGCACTCAGCTTGCTTATCAAGGAGGGACTTGAACTTGTTCAAGTTTTCTCTGCTGTTTGGGGGCCTTGTCGTGGGTAACAGCCTTGCTTGAAGGATGCCTCTTTGTTAACGTGCCATGCTCATTTAGTGAGCAGCCCCCACTCTGGCTCACCATTTGTGAGCCTGCCTGGACTCCGTTGTTAATATTTGAGGCAGCCGTGGTCCCAGATGGTAGCCATCCTGTGGGGGCCAGGCAGCTGCAGAGAGTGACCAAAAAGCAAGCCACTGGCAACTTTTGCAAATCATTCATGCTGGACAAGGTGATGAGGACTGTTGATGAGGAACTTTGCCACCTGCTGTGTTCTAGACGTCTCTTTGTTAGCTGCCCATGGGGGTTGAGCTCTTCAGGGCAGCAACTACTGTTATGGCTGGTGTCTAGATCCGCTCCCGCCCCAGTGCCTCATGCAGCCACAGGTGGGGCTTTTTCAGAGATGGCTGAATCTGGAGTGTGTGATTGGCTCAGGGTGCAATGCTAAGATTAAGGGTGCTAGGACTAAGGGTGGGTGATTACTGAATCAGTCCACTGATTGGTTTGTGTCTTGGTTACTTTTCTCTCGTTGCTGAGA